CTGTCTATAGAGGGCCTCATCCGCTCAGTCTTCCTGGTCAGGTGGCCTGTAGCAGACCCCCACCGTAATGTCACCTGTCCCTGCCTTCCCTTTAATCCTGACCCATAAGCTCTCGATTGGCTCCTCATCCATCCCCAGGCAGAGCTCCATGCACTCCAGCTGGTCATTGACATAGAGGGCGACACCCCCTCCTCGTCTCCCCTGCCTGTCCTTCCTAAAGAGCCTGTATCCCTCCGTCCCAACACTCCAATCATAGGAGCCATCCCACCACGTCTCCGTGATGCCAATAAGGTCGTAGCCCTGCAGGCGTGCACACATCTCTAACTCCTCTTGTTTATTCCCCAAGCTACGTGCGTTTGCATAGAGGCATTTAAGTTGGGCCCCCGATGAAGCTGTCTTACTGGCTGGAGTTCCTTTGTGCTGCTCTTCAGGGGCTCTCCTGCTGACCTGTGATCCTTCTCCAGGCTCTGGGCATCTCTTGCCAGCCCTGGCATCAAACTGGTAGGAGTAGGATGGATTGAGGTTCCCCTCCCCCAGCATCTCTATTTAATTAATCATGTAATTAATCCAAATATTAAAGAAGGCATCTCAAACATCTATAGGACATGTAACTTAGTTATCAATAATAAAAACTGCAAATACTAACTCAAATTTTTTAACCAAATATATTAGAGTCATACTTAATGCTAGAAGAGAAGCACCACTCTGTATCACAATGTAAGAAATTTTTGGTAAACAGAAAAAGCAATTTTTGCCACTAGCTAGTCATGTAAAAGTGTTTAACAATCATAATAAACACAGTTCAGCTAGACTTGATTACAAATAATTAAGAGGAATCCCTCAAAACATAAAATCTCCCAATTGTTTTTAAATACCCTGGGAACAATTCATAATTTTAATAGCTTTTCTTGTTGTCTACTCTTAACAGTGATATTTAAACACTCCTCTCAAATTGTTTCAAGACAATAAAGTAAAAACAAGGGAGTGAAGAATATTTGTCCTTTCAATAATGGGACACAAATACCACAGCCTTTCCTTAGCCAAAATCCAAAGAAAAGGCCTAAAACATGGCTTCCTCCAGCTGGGCTCTGTGTGGAAAGAAGAGAGTTTTCTGCTTATCCTTTCAGCTCCTTTTCTTCTCTCTCACCCTTACTGCTAGCTACAGGCCCTCAAGCCAAAAAGATGGTCACGCCTCAAGTGCATCAGCAAGAGTTCACCTCCTGTTGTTCTCTACAAATCCTCTGAACTGAAGATTTTTCTTTCCACTCTGATACGTAAATCGTTTTTTCCTGGCTTTCATATTGATTTGATCCTTCATTAGCTGCTTGGTAGAGATGACTCGAGTCCACACAACACCCACCACCATCTCTCCTGAACTTCGTTTTCAGTTTGGTTATTGCATTTACCAAAATGGCTAGTCGCATGATCACCTCTCAGCCAGGCATCATTCACCTGCCACCACCCCAGGCTCTCTCCCTAGCCAAACCCACCGCTCTGCCAACTCCAGGTACCACACGCAGTCCGTACCCACTTGGGTATCCTGAGCCCCTTCCCACTGCTGTTACTGAATTCCTCTTCTTACCCCTTCATGCACTCTGCAGCTA